CAAACGAGGCCAAAAGTGGGATGGGAGTGGAACCAGCAGCCATTTGAGTTCACCTCTGATGGATCGAACATGGCACTTATGCTAATTCGACTGCGTTTTCTAGCCAGCGCTGCACGCATTCCAGCTCAGCCGAGACTGTATTTGGAATGTGCAGTTGTGGCAGTAAAAACAAAACACTCAGAGATGCTGCTGCTGCTGGCACTGAGAGCCAGGCTGTGTCTGCACGCTACTGTACCTGCATGCAGGTAAACACAAAGTGTTCCTATGCGAGCAGGTGGCCTGAATCGAAAAGTTTCCCAGAAATTATGATCTTTAATCGGAACCAAATTATGATGGATTGAGAACAAACTTTGACACAGACGGCATCCGTTATGGTGGGTGATTTTTAAAAAGAATTTAATTTAACGTGTACTTGTTCATGGTCGCAAAGACAAACAGTTTTCTTGAGCCACAGAGGAGGGAGTTGATCAACTTCTAACAGGCTAAAATATCAATGTATAAAAAAGATTTAATTTTAGTGTTAAAAGCAGGACCTGTTGGACCAATTCAAAACTAAATTCTGCATGTGCAAACCTTTATTTTTTTTATCATAAATAAAATATGCACTGTGGTAAAGTGGCAGACACGATTGAAGTCGAGATTTATGTCAGGGTTAGGAAGGTTTTTTGTTGTTTTTTATTTAAGTATTGGATGCTGAGTTTGACACTTTATCTTCAATCGTGAAGAATCTCTTTGCAGAACCGCGCCCCCTGCTCTCCAACACCTGACAGAAATGTGCCCAGCAGTGGTCCTTCTATTATCTAAACACACATCTATCCTGATTGATATGCTTGAAGTGGGCCAATTTCACCTCCCTGCTGGATGTGATAGCCATTTATTTGTTCAGCTTTAATTGTTGAAGCTCCTGTCAGCAAAGCGCGGGGGCGCAGCTGCCTAGAGGTGACATACTGGCACCGGATCAGAACAATTTGATACCAGTTATGCTGCTTGCCTTCAAATTAGCATGAGACCAAATGAGAAAAGTCCTCCACCGACATCCGCGGCTTGCTGATGTTACACGATAAAGACAATGTGCACCTCCAAGTCGCTACAACATATTAGATGTAATGTATATTTTAACCATCGGCTTTATCTCTTTAGGTTGCAAATGACATTGTCAGCAACGATGTCAAACTGCAGCGCAATCTTCCTCCTCCAGCCTCTAACACACACACTGAGTCCGAGACGCACAGTGAAGGCTTGTCCACATGCCTTATAGTCATGGAAGGATTGACAGATACAATTGCATGCACATGCAGTCGTCTTCTCCCCGTTTAATTTAAAGAGACTCGAAGGTCAAGGATTTCTCTCAATCAGAAACGAGGAGTTCTGACAAGAGGGACGTCTTTATCTTCCGACAAGAAAACAATCTGGAAGCGGCAGGAATTAAAAGTGAAGGAACTTGACGAACATCTGGGAGCTGATTGCTAAGTTTGCTCATATGCGAGGCTTGCCTCTCCGCAGCCATGAGAAAATAAGCAGGGAGATGAGTTTGTGTCATCGTAGCTCAGGAAAATAAGATATCATATCTTGCTGTCGGTTTGATGTCAGCCTCTCGGAGTCGTACGCGAATGCCTCATCCCGTGGAGGCCGCTAGAGCAAAGGGGGGCGTGGGGTTCACTGGGAGTTCACATCTACAGCCACTAACCAGCCCCTACTTTCCTCTCTTCATCAGGGCTGCCTCTGTATTTACTCCTCATTTCAGTCTCTCTGTCTCTGTGTGTTAGTCTTCGCCGACTTCCCATCAAGTTGTGTAACACAGCGCTCGCAGCGCTGAGCGACATCTCCTTTACGGCGTTGTTCTGCAGAGCTAAGCCAAACCCGCGGGATGGCCTCACCCGATCCCGGCTTCTCTCAGATCTGGAGTTTGACACGTTGTTTGCATCAAATCACAGCCATCAGACGATGGCCTGTGATCAGGAACATGTGGTTCTGTCAGCATTTTACAGGTCAAGAATAACCAGCAGAGGTAGCGAGGCAAAGTAAGCAATAATCTTCCATGTGGGAATCGAGGCGTCTCTGAAGAAGGAAAGTGGGCATAAAGAGCCTTCCTAAAGGTATAAATCCCACCATTTTGTCCTTTTATTGGGATTTTCTGTGACATACCAGCAGCATAATTTTATCTCTAGCAGCATGTTTGGGGTTTTCATCCTGGTCTAGTCTCTCGTCTTAAGTCTTTTGCAGTCTTCAATAATCTTTCTTTTAGCTCTAAATATCCCATTTACGCCTCACCAGGTTTTCTGGTGGAAATCAACAGCCTCCCAGCATGAGGTTTCAGTTCCAACTTCAGAAATATAAGCTAACTGTGCCATTACAAACAATTTCTAAAAACTTTAACTTTTCCTTCCACTTCACAAATATTATGGACTAGCGTGATCACTTAATATTCTAATAGAATAAATTCAAGATTGAAATCTAATGTAACAAAATGTGAAAGAGTTCTTTATCTTGAGAAATGTTTCTATTCTCTCTCTCAAAGAAAAAAATCCTCAATGTTAGCTTCAATTAAGGCTTCTCTCCTGCGACCCCGCTTAGTTTCATACTGATTACTTAATTAACTTTTTCCTTCTGCATCCACACTGGAAGTGGACAGCTGCCAAGTTCATATGCCATCTAAGACTGATTAATCTCTCACTGCTCTGAGGAAAAATGTTTTTCCAATTTGGACTTTTGGCAATTCCTTTCTGACATTTAAATGTCCCCCAAGAGGTCCAGAGCAGCAAGTTTCTTTGAAGACAGCAGGATCGCCCAATGCCACAATCCAAAATCCTGACCTCAGTAAAAGCGAAGCCACGCTACCCAACATCTCGCTTCACCACATCATGGAACAAAGATCATGGCGAATATTCTCTAAGTAGAAGAGAAGAGACCAAAGTCGTTTTCATTTCCTGCCTGATGCCCAGACCCGTCTGCCATGTTACATGTCAGATCAGATAAGCAGTAAGCCTGCTCTGACATCTGCATTTGGGATAAGCCGACGCGCTGCTTCTCATGCATTGGTAGAAAATACCAAGCGACGAGGTGGGATTTCTGCTGGCGGTTTGCATGATATGAAACACTTATTGCGCACAGATGCATGCATTCAAATAAGAAGCAGCAGGAGTTTGGGAATTACGTCTAAACGAAAAACATTTACATACCCTGAAACAAAAAGACAAAAAAAAAAGTAATTTGTCACTTTTCCTTTCTTCGATCAGTAAGGATTACGAGAGAGAATATTTTAGGTAAGTGAGTTGTATTAATTTCTCTAAATTCAGACATTTACTTAAAGTAGGACTACTTTGCTCTTAAAGAGTTTGGGTAAGCCCAGGTGATGGTGGCATGGCTTTCTAAGCAAGGACCTAAAATTTTACGTTTTCTTGTGTGACATCATGGGTGAAACTAATGGAGATTAAAGATAGCAAGAAGACAATTGTGCAACGTCGTAAGTCTGGATATGGACTCTATATCCAAGAAATGTTTTAGAGATGGCATCATGAGGAAAGAACAGAAAACATCTCGAGACATGAGCCAAGGAGTTGAAAACTGATCTTCCAAATGGACAACAAACTGAATCACAACACCAAACTAGACACAAAGTGGCTCGTACTCAACGAAGTCAATGTTTTTCAGAAATCCTGATTGAGGTTGCAAAGAAAACAGAGATGAAAAGGTGTCAGTGAGCAAGGCACTTTATAAACCTGACCCAGTTCCACTAGTTCTGAAGAGGAGGAATGGGCCAAAATTACGGCAAACTATTGTGAAAAACTTGTGGAAGGAAAACCAAAATGTTTCACTGAAGTCATACCAAATCCTGGAGAAATGCAGGTGAATAAAACATTCTCCAAAAAATGTGCCTTTCCTCATTTTTCTGGCATTTAGAAAGTATAAATAATTTTGGTGATCCAAACTGCCCTAAAACAGGAAGCCAGTTTGCATCTTTGTATTCATGTATCTGGTTTCTATAGTAGATCACGCCTGGTCTCACCATAACAAAACAAGTATGAATGTAAAAAAAAAAAATTGTTCAGACACAGTATTAATGCAAGATCATAAAATCTACGACAAGGACAATTAAATCCAGGTTCCCTTAATTGAAATGCTCTCCCCCAGCTCCCTGATTAATTTATCCTCTGAACGTGATCTAAATTGACCCATCCAGCCGCGAGGTATACGAGTAGCCTCGCTGCTGCAGCAGACTGAAATGTCATTAGAGCCCCGCTGCGATTGTGGCCCCGATTTTTTTTCCTCTCGTACGGCACTTTGAGTTACTATCAGGTGACTCCTGCCGCGTGCAGAATATGAAATTATCTCTCATCAGCTGTAAACAAGCATGCCACGGTGTCCCTCCTGCTTTCAGCAGACGCCTTGAAGAATCCAGCAGTATAAATTGATCCGACTTTGACAGTTCTCGTCTGAGCTACCCGCTATTCTTTGTGCTAAACGATACTAGGTCATGTAGCGAGAGGCAGCTCTGTCTCTACTCCAAAGATCAAATGAGGTGCACATATTTCTTTTTTTTTTTTGTGCATTTTCAGGCAACTTTCTAGGTTGAGCGAAAGGCATTTAAGCATCAGAATCGTCACTGCCCTTCGACTGTTTCACTTAACCTTTGTATAAGTGAAGTGTTTTTACAGCTTGTTTCCCTCTTACCAATCATACGCAGCCTCTACAATGGTTCATCCCTCAAGAAGTACCCCTGTAACTTAAGAGGTGCCTGTCATGTCCACGGTGCACATTATATCTGCCAGTGCAGCTCACAGTGCTCCGGGTCTGGCTTCTATAAAGACATTGGATAAGATTACAGCTAAATCAGTCTTGTGGCTTTTCCCCAGGAAAACTTATGAAGTCCTAAAAGTCCTCCAGTTATGAGCGAGCCCAGCAGGGCTGCAGCCGAAGGTTGCCTAACCGAGCACAGAGTGAAACATAATCCAAGCGTCAGCGATCCTCCAAATAATAAGGCACTGACAGAGTGGAATGAGAGCATGATAACTCATATAAGCTTTTAAAATCCTACACAGGTACATGACCCTCGCTTTGTAAAGAAGTCATTTTCCATGATATATTCCTCACTAATTCATCTGGCACATGCTTTATTTTTCTGCTCTCCTTAACTCCGCGCTTCCCTCTGCTGCTTCTCCCTTTTTGGTGCAAACTGGAATTATTTGCACGGTTAGCCACATGCTTTTGGAATCCGAAGGTATCCTGTCTGGCTCGCCTTCATTCAATGCAAGTCATGGATTAAATAAGAAAAAAAAAAGGAAAAAAAAGACAGAATCCCTGGCACGCTTAATGAAATGAAGAAGCAGCAGCGCCACTGTTGCTTTATATGAAATCAATTTTGGGAGTAGCGGGGTTCCAATTGGCTGTTCGTGCAATCAATGACGCTCGACAGCCGATTTTCATTAACCTTCCGCGGCTGTCTGCGCCGACGCTGGAAAAGGAATAATGTTAGCAAAGAACATAAAACAAGACTGAAGTGAGGTGCAGATGTCTACATATTTAGTCTATACACCAAGGTCGTCCAGCAACGATACATCAAAGCGCAGAACGGGGAGCCAAAAGTAACACTTACACTTCTCTTTGATCGGTATGTGATGGCTGTTTATTGGCATTGGAAGGAAGGTGAGCGTGGGGATCAAACCAGAGTTTGGGAGTCCCACTGAGGAGTAGGTGTGATTTTATTAAATCAACATGAAACAGGGTTCTGCAGAAGGCAATCAGATTTCTGAACATGCTACATTTCTACTCCACCTAGCTCAAGTGGTTCTCTGTTACAATTTGGGGTTGTCATATATAGTTGAGTGGTGCTAGAGCCTGAAAAATACTACAGCATTAACGCCACACAAACACAACACAACAATGGAGGAAGTACCTGAGTCTGTTAATGTCCATAAAAACTCAATGCGCTCCATGGCTGTTGTGAGTTTTAACAAATGGCGGGTCAGGTTACCGCTAGGCAATCAGTCACCAACAGTCTTCTGACATCGCATTTTCAGTCCAGCGCTTGGAAGCTTAGCGAAGTAAGTTATATAAAAGGTGTTGGCATTACATAAGCATTACTAGCGGGAAACCCTTACATCTGAGTCATAAGCTGCGCTAGTGGAAAATGGCCAATACAGTAAACATTATAGACATTATCCAACTGAAGTGCAAACCTCTTCACTTTTGCACACTTTTGCACAAGGCCTTTGTTTAGTCTGGTGCTGTTTACTTGTGTCATGGTTGCTATCGCTTTTCTGATCAGCTGATATTCTCCATGCCTACCAATGGGTTCAGTAATCTAACGGATCAGGTTCTGCTGAGTCGGATGGGTGCTTTTTAGCATCAAAGAGTATTACAAAGATGGAGAAAAGATGGCTTGATTGCTGGATAGACCATGAAGTTCTGACCCTGGAAATGATTGCAGCAAAATATAGTTATTTTACGAAATCCCACCTGGCAGATGGTCTTCATTCTTTTTCAGTAAGAGTTGATGTTATGCCTCCAGAAAAAAGCAAGTCATCTTTGCTGCCTGAATGACTGAGGAAGAAGCGCCATGGTGCATTAAAATGATTCACACGTTTCAGTTGGCACCTTTAACTCACATTGGATGCATTATGTGAACTTGTTCATTTATTTTCAATAAAACAATTCCTTGTTTCTATGTTGGAAGCTGCTCAGATCTTGGACCCAATTCTTACCTCTCAGTCTTCGCCTAACACTATTGATCAATTGATCATCCTTTGTTCATTTGTTACAGTCCATCCAGGTTCTGTGGAAACATGTACTTGCAGCACATCATGTACTGTCGACATCAAGTGCAGGAATGCACCAACCGGACAGCGGAAAAAGAAAACCAAAAGCAGAAAGAAGAACAACATCAGATGTTTTTAAGTGTGAAAGCTATCATTTTTTCAGTGGAAAGCTGTGGTTTGGCTAAAAAATTAATTTAACACAGTCATTTGGCGCCGTCCAAGTGGCTCATGTTCGCTGAATTTCTGTAAATTTTGCTGAAATTTTAGAGGAGGAGATAATGACTGTTGACAACTACTTCAGAGAATCCCCTTTCAAAAACGAATTGAAGTCTTATGATCAAAGAACATCCCTGTGCTGCGCTCAAAATATATTAAACATATTTCTATGTATTACCTGATTGTTGTTCTGGGCTCGTTTTAAAAGTTACCATGACTCAGCGACTTCAAGGCCAACAAGTAAAACGTATGGATTCCCATTGTGACGCTGCACATTCACCTAAATTGAATTTAGTGTCATGTCATCCCAATCAGTAGTAAAAAAAAAGACAAAAAAAAAAACATTGGATATTATCTGGCATCAGATTTCTAGGACATACTGGGAGCCATCCAGGGATACTCATCAGATTGGCTGGGGATATAACTCACTGTCCACTGTACACATGAAGCAATAACTGTTGTATCGCAGAGTACAGCTGGTAACAATCACTACAGGCTGGGACTTAATGAAGCTTTGACATAAGAGCTCATACTCCGCTTCACTGCAGACAGACAATCCTACCTGGCCCAGACAGCGAAGCTGCCTTATCTGTTTGGGATTTACGATGAACAAGACATCATTTGTTACTGTCTGCAGAAAACGGCTCATGTTCAAAAGGTCAGATTTTAAAGCTGCTATATTTTGTAATTAATAGCATTCATATATCATTGTCAAATTACCCAAAGCCACTGGCTGTAGTGACAAACAAATGAGATCAGGGCAGATTAGTGCTGGCTATTTGTCTGCATTACACACACACTACTTTTTCTTTAGTTAATCTGCTTTGGATTGAAATGCTTTTGTTTAAATGTTTTTCCTAACACAATCCAGGTGAGAAAAATGTACCCAGAAAAGTTAGTGTGTAAATGAACTCAAGGCATCGTTAGTTTGCTCTCTTCTGGTTTCTAACAGAGCAAATTTGTTTCTTGGGGAAACTGGATTCGGGTTGTTTCAAGAAGTTGGCAGCAACCAAAAATCCTGCAGCAAGAGATCTGTTCTCAGAGTTAGGTGTAGCAATATGGTTCATGATTCGAGATGATCCTGAAAAATATTGTAGCAATATTACTGGAAAAGCTTAAGTACCTGGAGTTTCTTTGGATTTTGCAAACTTTACAAGTTGGAAGGTGTTTTTAATAATCTAATCTCTGTAAAATAAACATAGAATCCAATTTTAATTAGGTCCTATAATGACTTTCTTGTATTTGGCTTGTTTTAATCTGACCGTAATTGCTAAAAAACACTAAAAATACTTCTTTTTGTGTTTTAATAAAAATAATAAATGTTTCGTTTACATCTTCTCCGTCACCATTTCAGGTGCTACGCATCACTCAAACCATTCAGATGCTCTGGAGGTTTCTGCAATGCCTTTTGTAATCCAATTTGAACAAACTGTGGACTACTTTTTTCTTTACTTCAAAATAAAAGCCTCAAACATACAGCTGTGAAAACACTTGAACATCCTAAAATAGCCTGTTTTTCTAAACTATTTGAAAGATATTTAATATCAATTTAAGATTACTGAAAAATATATAAGCTATAGTAATTTAGATGAGAAAAAGAACCACATATCGACTGTAAAGCATGGAGGTGAAAGTGTCATGATTTGGGAACGATTTGCCGTAGCAGGACCTGAACAACATGACAATGTCCCAAAACATACCAACAAACCGACCAAGAACTAGACGAGAACAGAGAAATAGAAAGTTCAGATCTCTATCTGTAGTGACTTGAAACTGGAAACTCCTCAAACATCTTTTCACCATTACAAAGATACAGAAATGTGATGAAAATAAAGCAAAGATGTACCTTTCTGACTCATATAATTAAATGATTCAAAAGAATAAAAACAGCTACAGGGTAGACCAGGTCCTGCAGAGAAAAACAAGTATACAGAACCTGATCAAATTCAAGCTAGGCTGTTATTCTATTGTCTGATGTGAACTGATGAATCTCCGGCAAGAAAACCTAGGTGTGATCACTCAGCGACCTGATGGGTTTAGCCGGGCTGCAGGAAAGGCTCCAGAGTTGATGGAGATTAATTAGTCAAACTGGGGCAGACATCAGTCTTGTAACAGGTCCCGGCGCTGTCAGAGGGGATGGAGAGGGAGGGAGATGAAGAAGTGTTGCTGAGGCAGGAAACACGGCAGCCGGAGCGGGGAGGATTTCTCCTCGTTCCTTCTGTTGCTGCTAAATTGCAGCTTTAATACTGTACAAACCGTTTGGAGGTGGTGGAGAAAAGGCCAGAGGAAGCAAGGAAAGGAGGGAGGGTTTGACGCTCATCCTTCACTCTTATCTCGACAGTGAGGGTTATCGGGTCAAGTGTACAACCTTCCTGGTGCCACGCTAATGACGGTTCCCCCTCCTTCCTCTGGGTTGGAAGGTCAAGTCTTCCACCTAAACCTGCTTTATCATCCATCAGCAGAGCTCTGCAGCTCTGACAGTCATGAGTCCTAGAGGTGATTTTACTGCGCTGGCGACGACCCAACCAGCATTCTTTGGCTTTGTCTGAATCCCAACAAAAATACTGCGACAAACCTTAGAGTGGAGACACAGAATCACTCTACTCCTCTCGTCCTCCATGCAGGAGCTCAGCTGAGGTAATTAGAGGTCCAGAGCCTTGCTTAAGGGCACATCATACATAATTGCTATGGAAAGGTAACCGCACGTTTAACCGAGGCTGCTGGTATTAGCAGGAACTGGAAGAAGCGATAAGACCGTTATCAGTAGGAGTCGTTATAAGAAACTCAATAAAGACGACAGGATGTTCTACTTTGATCTCGCAGGTTGTCTGCAGTTGTGTTCGGCCCGGGTATGTGTCGACGCAACAAGTCTGGACGCAAAGGGTTGATCTTAATCTGTTTAAGTCAAGAGATGTGTGATTAAATCTCGATTACATCAAAGCTGGCGACATCAAACTGACCCTAAAGGGAACTCCTGTTCCTACTATCAATTATGTTTTGCACATTAACGCTAAGTGCTGTTTAAACTGTTTTTGGGTTTTTTTCAGAGGTCACTTAACATTGATTGTCAAATGAAGGCACTATGTGGATAATGTACAAGCCACTTTTGACCACAGTAAAGGGATAAAGTTAGAGGGAAAATCTGTAGTTTCTGACTCTGGTAATAAACAGCCACAAAGACCAATTCTGCATCAGCATCCATCATGGCCGCTTGGGGCTCAAGAGAAACACTTCAGTGAAGAAACACATTCAGCTGCATCGTAATGTAGTGAGTGAAGAGAACTGGGAGGCAGAGCTCCACTAGGGTTGCAAGGTTTGTCTCGTTGAAAAAAAAAAAATCTACTTTAGGAACAACAGCAGGCACATTCTCAAGTTATAAAGACAGTGCTACCAACACCAAATCAATCTAGACAACAAACAAACCAAAAAGGCCCTCTGCCTCTGACTGACTGAATACTGGGATGGGCTCCAACCTTTGTCAGTTGGGTCTTGGTACTTTGACATTTCTTTGATTCATTATGTATCCTGACAAAAGTAAAGATAGTGTCATGTCTTAATTAATTAAGAAAGCTGCACATCCTCCTCCTCTTAAGGTAATGATTAAGCCCACTGCACATGTTGGAAAGCTGCAGGGTTCACTCTTGCCAAGCGACGGCTGCATGAACCCGCCTGATGAAATGCTCTTATCCTTAGTGACTCGCACAGCTTAACTGACTCTTTTGGCTTCGCTTTCCGATGCTATATGAAAACCAGTGTTTTCTCAGAAGTATTTCTCAGCAGCACAATGAACAGCAGAGGAGCTGAGAGTGACATCTGTTAAGCCTTAGAGCTGGAAGGCCAAAAATAAAGTTACTGGGTTGGGCCCCCTTTACTGCATTTACAGAAATCAGCTGGAGGACAAATGGTGAGATTCTAACCCGCTCAAATGCCATGAAAAACCGCTGCACACATATATACGACTCTACACACTCTGTACGGTTGCAGTTTATTGTACAAACACGACTGCATGCACAAAATCAAGGCAGAGTGGCTCATTATATGGATGGATTAGGGCAGAAACATTCTGCAGCGCAAACATCAAGGCTTGATTTTTATCTTCGGCTGCAAAGAGCTGACATAACCTCAACGGAAAAACTGATTCTAGATCAGCTCTTTAGTCTCTTTATTCTCGTAATGCTTAATGGCAGCTTCATCTTTAACGGGAGACAAGATTGTTTGAGTCTCACCGCTTTTGTCAGATTATCATTTTAAATTGTTATTGAGGGAAATTCTGCAGCATCTTTGATACAGTAAAGTCGGCTTGGCTTGTCTCTCTCTCTCTCTCTCTCCCTCTCTCTTTCTCTCTTCCATACAACGCTCCCGCTTCTTGGCTAATAAGCTGCAACATCATCCTAATTTCAGTGGCTGCCTGCTCATCAGTCCCTCAAAGCTGAACGGACGCGCTGTAACTAAGCGGTGGGTAAAATTACAGAATGGTTTCTCCAGCGAAATGAAACGAAAACCTTTGTCTGGAGAAGAGCATCAGATAAACCCTCTGAAACTAGAACTTAGAGGAATCTCGGGCTGATTTAATTATGAAACAAACTTCAGATATCCGTGTCAGCCAAGTTCAAACAAACACAGATGAATCTTGGAAGAAATCAAAAGCTTTAGCTTTTAGGGAACAAAGAGCTTTCTACCTGACATGCCAACAGCTAACAGGATTTCCCCCTGTCTAAATGCTCCTTTCTCCAAAGCATTTCTTGGAAATTTGAACAGAAATCAGAGAAACTCTCTATAACTCAATGATATCATTTAAATCTGCAGCCGTGGGGTACTGCTAAGAACTTTCTGATCTAATGATTAATCACCGTTACTTCAATGTCATAAATTACACTGTCTTTGTTTTCCATTACAAATGTGCGCAAAACTTTATCGAGATTCAATTGATGTTGAAAAAACGTGATGTTGTAATGGCTGTTTCCAAAGCAATTACAATCACACATGAATAAGTTTCTTCATGCAATAAATCTCATCGTCCCACCACTTCCTGTAGTCTTCTTCAACTTTTCCACCAGTAGTAACATCCGCTTGTTGATCACATGACTTGTGTGATGTGAATAAAGTGTTTCTATTGAAGTTTTGCAAAATTCATCCCAAAAAAAACCCCATCTCATCATAGCACAAAAACCTTTTTATTGAAAAACATGAGTTTTTTTTCAAAATTGGCATGTTTCCATTAAGCAAATTTATTTTCATAATTACAATTATATGGTCAATGGAAATGCAGGTACTGAATTCGTGGTTCAATACTAGCAAAATGTGTAAAAATTCAAGGAGTTTTGCAAAATACTCTACATAAATGTGCAGATGTTCCAAATTACCCTTTTTTCTTTCATTTTTTTGTTAAATGAAGTGTATGGTGTCGATTATTATCATCGCGTTGACTGTTGAATACCACTGGGTACCAGAAAGGCCCACAGTTTAATGGACAAACTGCAGCACAAAAACCCCATTCACTTCACGCTGGTGAAACTCATCAATATTCAATCTTTTAAATCAATTCTTCTTCACATCTCTCTGCCTTGTTGTAGAACGCTCTGATTCATGCTCTTCATACCAGATTTATTAAGTCTCCGACTGCAATGAAAGAAAAATAAAATCAGAATTATAAATAAAAGGTAATGATGCTATTGTCATGCTCCCCTGCATTCCCGAGTGCCGCTCCTCACCTTTCTATTTGAATAATGATTTATAATCATATTAGTGCTCTCCGGAGCCCTGCTCTGGAAAAGTAAAAAGCTATTATCCAGTTGTCAGTTTCCAGCAGACGCAGAGGGAGATGGAGCGCTGATGCTGACACATGCACATACTGGAACTACACACACTCCTGCATGCACACACAATGCTCTGAATGTGCATAAATGCACGTGCTGAGGTGTTTTTCTGCACGCCTAGTCAACAGTGCAAACACGCTCATAATCATCCAGAGAGAAACAAGCGCTGAGGACTTTTTACAGGCTCAGCAGGTGGAAAAAAACCCACTCTGTAGTTCAAGCCTGGGGGGACGGGGAGGTGGGAGGGGCTTACTGTGGAGAAACCATCTGTCAATCAAAGAGAAGGAAGGAAACTGAGGCTCAAACTCATGCAAACCAAAACTAAGGCTTAGTCTGGGCCAAACTGCAGATAAAATATTCCAAAATGAAAAACCATTCTTTTAAACAAACGAAAATGCCAAAAGTTTCTGATTCCTTGCATGTTTAAAAGTTTTTTTCAAGTTAGCTACACTAACCCTAAAGCACTAATCATATTAGTTCTGCTAACGCTAAAGCACTTCACCAACCCAGTATTTAGGAGAAGCTAATGCTAAATTGCTAACTTCAATTCACATCTCAAAACTTTATTCAACTAAAAGTTTACAAAACATCTAAGTAAATTATCTCTTTTTTTGGAAGCTAAGTGCGCTACACATGTTCAAAGTTAGCAAAAAAAGACACATAAAACTAGCTACACTACTAGCGCATTAGCAGAAGTGTGTCCACCACCAATTTATTCCAACAAGATCACTAATTATTACTTTGATGTTAAATTTGATATTTAAAGCTTTAAAATATAAAGAGATCTAGAAAAAATATTTATCAACAAAGGGAATTTAAAAAAGCCTTCAGATTTATCTGGAAACATTGGTTCTAAACATATGATGGGTGAGACGTTGCCAGTCCATTTAAAGTTGTTTGAAGCTTAAAACCTGAAAACTAAAACCACATTCTGAAACTTGGGCATACATGCATATATATATAGATAGTCGAGGTGAGGAAATAAGATATCATGCATCGCTGATCAATACTGTCAGTCAAGTGGCGTAATCCTCCAAAAGACATTTCGACAGAACACGGTGGCTGCGTTGTATCAGGAGGGATCTGTGTTTGGAGCTAAATGTGGTTTAAACGCCAGCATGACAGTTTAATGTTTCTCACTGATATGTCTGAATCTAAAGGAATCAGAGGTTCAGTTTCTCCTGTTTATTTGGTTTTTTGCTGTGTATTTCTGTGTGCCATGCAGCTTAACGGAAGCTAATATTGTCCCTCATGTCGACCCTTACGGTAAAACTCTGAAGTAGTTTTTAATTTCAAGACTCCATGTCAAGCACCTCATTAAAACCAGGAGTTCATTCATTCCAGTCAGGTTTTATTGCATCTTTAAGGTACTTAGAAAAATGCGCCGTGTGCCATTTTTGGCTCTTTCTGTGAACACTCTGCTGCTCCGACCTCATTTTGTCAGGAGCCATTCAGGGTTAATTTCTCAACAGGACCCCGGTGGCCGTCGACACAAAGAGCAGACCAGCCAGCAGTAATTACACCATGCAAATGACATTTAGGCCCCTTTTAATACGCCCGGTGTCGTATCACTTCAATTGGTCCGCCGTTTATCACCCGGCACACATCTGTGGAGCCCTGAGGAAGGGAGGGGCTGGGAATCATCTGCTCATTCATTGAGTAGATATTTCCACCTTTTCCATTTTCTACCTCATGTCTGCTGCTCCAGTTTTTCCCCCCCACTTGCTAATTTGAAATTTGTGGTCAAAGGATATATTGTCTTCTCTTTATTTGTCCACTTATCGGACTAAGATGATGTGTATAAATTAAATTTCTACTCTTCTATACATTTAATCCCATTTTACAGGAAAACTGTTCCACTGTTTATCACTGCTTGTGCCTCATGTTATCAAGCACACATAGAAAAGAAAATAAACTAATGCCCATTTAATGCAAACATTTTTTTAATCTGATGTGTTTCGGTTTGACAAAGTAATGGCATCATCTGGTCTTTTGAAAATTTGCTATAGGCACAACAACCTAAATGTATTTAAACTTTAGAAAGTCTTTCGTTCTTCTGGTAATCCTAAATTATCGAAAACAGGATTTTATGATTAGTCATTGATATGAGACGTTCCTCCGTGAAGTTTCCCAGGAAATGGAAATAACAAAAATAACCTTTATGGTCCCTTATTTTAGACCAATGCATCTGCAGGTGGCTTCATATTTCAAAATTTTAAGTATTTTTAGTCTTGACTGGCACCTGTATGTTTCTGATTCACAAAAACATAAACTTTTTGTGTAAACTAAAAGTAGAGAATCTGAGAAACTTCTTGTAATTGATCGAAGGGTTTAGCAGATTTCTTCCAGCCAGCTGATTGGCAGAGAACAGCAACAAGTGGTACAGCCGGAAAACTCCAGATGTTCCACCGCTTGATCTGGCGTCTCATTAAAGGACTTTCCGATGCCGTGAAGCCGCAGTAGAAGGTATCAGACTGGATTGCTTCAGACATTAATAGACAGCTTCATATTTCTCTTAAACATCAGAATATGAACAACAAACTGATGATGGACACAAATCTGTCAGTTCTCTCTGTATAAGCTGCTACATAAAAGGTGGAGAGATACACCAACCCCACATCTGAGACTCAGATTGCCATCTGCAGTGAGAAATCCACACCCACCTGCCCACTGCCAAGTTTCCCCCCTTCGCCTTAGTGAGTGTACGGGTGGGTTTGTGGGTGAGACAGGTAGGGTTGGCCAGCTGGTTGGAACAGGTGTACAGACTGTGTTCCCATCGGACTGATCGGTGCACTTGGCTGCAGACCAGAAACTGTTGTGTAAAGCCTCTTTGTCCATTTTCCAGCGTCTGCCTCCCTTTCATTACCCCCACACCCACGAATCGCCTTTTTTTATCATCCCCTCTGTTCTTTCAGCGCAGGGTATGTCATTCCCTCCATCTTCTCCCTTGTTGTCCCCTTCTTTGTCTCGCTTGGTTTGCACCGGTTTCACCAACACAAATATAAACACGCGTACACCGCCATGCATGACCAGACAAACAGTGTTCAGTGTAGACGGCTGATGGGAGAGGAGCTAAGAATAGAAAGAAAACTCATATGAAGATGCATGCTTGGATGAGAGGCTTGATGTTTTCTTTGGCTGATAAAACAACGAAAAAGAGACGGTTTTCTACACAAGTCGGAAAGGTTAGATGTTGATGTGCTTCTAACTGGCATCAAAATAAATCAAAATTATTTTAAAATATTGATAGAACGCATTATTAATGGGGGTGGTGACTAAGTTTTTTCCTCTTGATCTCCAGAAAATAATTATTTACAACATATGGCATAATAAGAAAAATCAAAACAAAGTGTCTTCTAGTGGGTTAGCTATCGCTTGAAGGTTTTATAACACATTATTCAAGAATGTTCAAAACAGAAATGTCCTCAGTTTGAGGAGTCTGATTTAAGTTGGCAGAGGGTTTAAACGCAGACAGCATTTACTGATCTATTCGACAAATGTTTATCATAAAGCAGAGCTGAGTCTGAGCATCAGTTCCATAAAAGGTCAGGCAGAAAGCCCCTCTTTTGTCCAAGCCTTCCCTCGCCGAACTCTCGTTTTCTTTTGAAGTACTTCCTCAGAGCACGAGATCACAGATGAGGTCACATCCTGTCTTTTCTGATCAGACCTGAGGGACTGCCAGCAGATGTGGGGGCCGAGAGGTCAGGTGTCTCGTGAAAAGAGATAGCAGAGGCATCTTCTCTTTGACATTTTTGTTTTTAATTTCTCAGAGTTTAGAGCGGGACTCGAGTGTTTCTGTGCATGAGCTGATATTCTCCTCTCTTGGGACGAATCATTAAAGTGACAAAAATATGCTGAGAAACCCCTCATATGTGAACCGAGTCGTGAACCTGCCATGTGTACGAAAGCACTTGAGAGTTCTCATGTTCACAGGGATTTTTGTGGAGATCTCAGCTGATGAAAACTTTCCTGGTCGCTATATTTAAATGTACAGACTGCAGCTTAGTTTTCATACACTGAATAAAGAAAAAACACAAACTTTATTTTTTCAAACCAGACAATTATGTGCAAGTACGGGACATGATGGGAAAGTTCAACCATCATTCTGCTAAGGAAGAGACCACAATAACTGGAGCAACACTGCAAATTCAAAAAGCCTGGAATAGGACGAACTTTAGGAGAAATGTGGAAGAAATGGTCAGATACAATCTGTCTGAGTGACGATGACGATCTATAAATGCTGTAAACAAGTCAAGGGACAAGGATACATTAAGATTAACAGAGAAGAAGAGACATGAGGACGGATGTCTTGGTGTTGTGCTGAACAGTAAGGAATGAACAGAGGTTTGTTTGTCTGGCAGCTGCCCAGCCAGCATGCCTAGGTGGGCAAATGTGGGGACAAGGAGGGCAGACTATATGGGTCCCATATGGGTTTGTCCGCGGGTTCCACGATGGCCCCACATGGGTTTGCCCATGTAGGGCCAGAGCCCACATGGGCCCTGCATGGGCCCTATATGGTGGTGGCCCACATGGGTTTTGTCCAATTAGGGCCCATGTAGCACCCATGTGGGCTGTGGCCCTACATGGGCAAACCCATGTGGGGCCATCGTGGAACCCGCGGACAAACCCATATGGGACCCATATAGTCTGCCCTCCTTGTCCCCACATGGGTCCCACCTAGGCATGCTGGCTGGGTGAGAGCTTAAAATAATGATAAAATGATCAGGTATGACGAGACAACTTAAGAAAACCACAAACTGTTTTAGTTGGTCCAAATGAGAAAAATACTGAACCAGATTTCCCAGGAATGCTGTGACAAAAAAATTAACCTGTTTGTTGTTTCTATTTCATCAATGATCTGAGAAATTAAATTTATCTTTATCTGGAAATTATAGTTGAGGAAACATTGGATAGATGATCAAATGTAACCAGGAACTATTCTTATTCCGGGTTCCCACACAATTTTAATTTATAGACTCAGATTTTTAAAAATTAAAATGATATTATGGGGATTTTATAAAAATTATGGACATACAAACAC